TAGGTGTAGATATCCCTGGAACCGATTTGCATTATCTCCTCCCTCTGGCTTGCATGTGCTGGGTCACTTGGGGGGTGAGGGGGGTGTCTCTGCAGGGCAGCAGAGGGGTCTCTCAGAACTTGCCTTCATATTCTGCAAGTCTTCTTTACTGTGACTGGCCTTTACCTCTTGTCTTGAGCAAATGCACTCTGAGAGGATGCACACCAGGTGCATACTGTGGCTAACAGGCCCAGCACATCCTATCTAGCAAGGTATGTTATTATTAAGCCATAGCAGCAAGCCTGCATTCAAAGTTTGCTCAAGCCTTGTGGTTTGCTTTATATCCTGCATACAGAAGCCTTGTGGGATGCTTCAGCACAATGTTGAGGCAGTTCTAAAGCAACCCACAGTTGGGTTCAGAAGCATCAGTTCAGTCTCTTATAGGAAAGCAGAAGTGGAGATTCTTATAGTTTAAAAATCTAACATTTTTTAATACAATGCTGCGAATTCTCAACCTAAATAAGCTATAATTTGCTATATCCCCTAGTCAGTAAGGAAATTCTTAGGTACAGTACATGTCTTTACTTCAATAGCAAGATCCATGTGGCTAGCTAATCTACCTAGTAGGTTTTTTTGTGCTGCCGTTCTGTAATTTTGAACAAGAGCTGCGCAGCATGTTGCTTTTTGTATCCTTTTCCAGGCAATGTTAGTTATCAGAAATGCTATCTATTAAAATAAAAATATTTTAGCAAAGAAGTAGAGTTGCATTGTTATGATTCCTTTAACTTCAGTGTTTGTCTGCTCTGTTTCTGTAAATAACGATTTATCAAGAATCTGCAGATTAAAAGACAACCATTTTTCCCCAGTCAAGTAAATGCTGCCTTTGCTAGGAAAATTCCTGTTGCCTCAGAGCTTTTAGATGACCAAAAATGTTGTGCAAAAGAGCAAAATATAATTACTTCTCTTGGACAATATGTTGACTTAAATTTAACAGTAATTTACTGCATGTCTTACTGCAGACTGCACATGAGAAGGTATTTCCTTCTGCTGCTTCTTGATAAATTCTGCTGATTAGCAAAACCTTTCATTTTGCCCATTGCGTTTCTGAATCTGTCTTGTTTCTTCAGGCATTTCCATTTGGATTGTGCCTTGGACTTGTTACATGTTGTTATTCCAGGAGCACATATCAGACACACTGTGGAATGGCAATCAAAGTGAGAGCTGCTTTACCATTGTCAAAGGCATGTGTCTGCATGCCTGTACTGGGTTTCCTCTTCTGTCTGAGACATGTGAAGAGTGGGCATTTCTCCCCATCAGGGCATGGACCAGGGTTTTGATTCAAGCGGTAATTTATATCTTTGTTGCCTTTCACTGGAGGCCTTAAAACTGAACAAATGTGGAAAATTATTCCACTTTCCTAGATGGTAAAATAGTTTGCTGCAGTGTGCTGGTCTGGGGTAAGTGGGGAGGAAAAACTGGGTCCTTTGCTGTTAGTCATCTGGCTGTTAGAGAATCTGTTCTTATTTGAGCAGTCAGGACTGTTTTATCTAATTAGATGTACACTTGAAGACAGAAATGTTCTTCCAGAACACTGGATGTTATCTACTGAAAAGGTTATAAAATTAAACCTCTTGTTTATTTAAAAACTGGATGCCTCCCAACTCCCTTCCCTGTCAGTCTTCTTCCTCCCTGATACCCTACTGTCATTACATTACTGCCTCTGTTTAATTTTTCGTGGTTTGTATATAACACCAGCACTTGGGACTGCATGATAAGAGTAACTGCTTTAAGGCAGTTTAATCAGGTAGAACATCAGTCACCCAAGTAGCAGCTTTCTTAGTAACCAAATGTGTTTGTAATTTGATGTTCACAGTGCTGTTAAAGATGGCTAGAAATAATTTATGTGCAAGTTTGCATGTAATTTAAAGCCTTGTGCTGCATGGAGAAATGTAGGGTAGAGGGTGGGATCTGACAGCAAGGTTTTTTCCATGTTCCCTCTCTGAGGTGGACCAAACTCACTCTTACTAAGGAGCTGCTGACCTGGTGAAGTGTCAACAAGCTTCCCAAGTGAGCATTTATTTTGCTTCTTGTTTCCCTTCTTTCTACCTACAGACTCTGCTGCAATGAGAACACAAGGACTGAATAATTTAGGCTTGATGTATGATACCACACAATAAAATGGTTTAGTACACTATAGGGTTTGCATAAACTAATTTAGATATAGTGTTTAAGGTAGATAAAGCTTCCAAAAGGCCTGGGCTGAGAGGTAAGAATGGTTGGAAAACACCAAAACCACAACTTTCCTAAGTTTCTTGATGTGCTTTTACTCTGTCCCATGGAGTATCTAAATCTGAGTTGTAAATGGTATGGTATCAGGCATCTGTTTCTGCTTAGAGGGAGTTTTTCTCAGAGGAGGTATCAAAGAATCAGAAAATCTCAGGTTTGAAGGGACACAGAGGGATCATCAAGTCCAATTCCCTAGTCTTTATAGGACTACCTAAAACTAAACCATATCACTAAGAACATCATCCAGATGTTCCTTGAACTCTTGACAGGCTTGGTGCCATGACCGCTTTCTAGGGAAGCCTGTTCCAGTTACCAAAAACCCTTTCAGTGAAGAACCTTTTCCATTGTCCAGTCTGAACTTCCCTTGATGCAACTTCATACCATTTCCATGTATCTTCTAGAGGAAACAAATATTTTGGCACCATTTGTTATCTGGCAGCATTTTGTATGAAAAGATGTTCTCTAACACATATGAAGCCTTGATTGGTTCAATTTAAAATGATGTTTTTCCACCATTGTGGTGAAATGTATTGTAACAGTAGGAGATGATTAAATGCCAGAAGAAGGCATAGCTAAACTATCTGAGTTATTTCTAAGTTATTTTAAAGTTGACCTTTATTTCTACTTCAAATTATTTGTTTAAGCCTGGGATAGCCTCTATTAATAAAGCTGTACTGATACTTCTTGACACTGGAGATATGGGAATGTGGTAAGTACAGAGATACTCATAAAATGTTGTGGTCAAAGTTTAGTTCTGTTTACAGAGGGTTTTAAACAAGTAGAGTGTGCAAATTCGAAAAGGTTTGCTGAGACTGCATTCTGGACTTTTCATTTCTTGATCCATATAACCACTTGAAGTATTCAGTTATCTGTGTATCACTCAGTATCTGAGTATCTAAGAGTCATTAAGTCTAGCTTGCAGAAGACATGTTAGTTATGCATGTTTCATCTTTTAGTCAGTTTAAAAATAAAAAGTGTCTACCTTGTGATATAGGTTACAAATCTTTACCAATACAATTAGCACTCCTATCCAATACAAAGGAGATTGTGCAGCCTTGTCAATAGATGATCCAGGCTGAGTGATTTATGAAGTTTATATAAAATGGTGAGTTTAAAAAGTTATTTTCTAGCATATGCCCCTTGCAAATTATTGCCATGAGCAGAACAGAAAGGAATCTCCATAAAGAAGAGCTAAAATAAAGAGCAGGAATAACATGCTCTAAGTTACAAGAAAAGGAAAAACATACTTTTGAGAGCTGTGGTAAGCAAAGAGGAGAACAGGAAGCTGTGATGTTTTCTCTTTGATGTGGGGTATCCATCTGCAGGTTTTCCGATGAGGTACGAGCTAGCTAAGTACAGTGGTAAGGCAATGTCATGCTCCTCTGAGCCCTGTTTAAGAAGGAAGCATCATGGGCATCTGGTAGAACTGGAGCCCTGATTTTTTGTCCTGCTGTCTGAACTACTGGCCAGAACTTAGAATATTCTATGACATACTGTATAGAAAATAGTGCCAAAAAGCCAGAAATGTTTATTTAAGATAACGACACAGAAGTAATAGAAATCATAGAAAGGTTAGGGTTGCATGGGCAGGGACACCTCCCACTAGATCATGTTGCTTAGAGCCCCATCCAACCTGGCCTTGAGTACTGCCGGGCAGGGGGCTTCCACAGCCTCCCTGGGCAACCTGTTCCAGTGCCTTACCACCCTCATAGTAAAGGATTTCCTCCTAGTATCTAATCTAAATCTCCCCTCTTCAAGTTTTAAACCATTGCCCCTTGTCCTCTCGCTACATTCCCATGCAAGAAGTCCTGCCCCAGCTTTCTTGTAGGCCTCCTTCAGTTATTATAAAGCTGCTATAAGGTCACATCAGAGACTCTTCCAAACTGAACAGCCCCAACTTCCTCAGCCTGTCTTCACAGGGGAGGTGCTCCAGTCCTCTGATCATTTTTTTGTCACCCTCCTCTGGACTTGCTCAAGGAGCTCTATGTCCCTTTTATGTTGGGGGCTCCAGAACTGGACACATTATTCCAGGTGGGGTCTTGCAAGAGCAGAGTAGAGGGGAAGAATTACCTCCATCAACCAGCATGTGATCCCTGAGCTGCAGGCTCAGCAGCAGTTTTGTTTATTTAACTGCATTACTTTGTCATTTTGATGTCAGGATGTAAGTCTTCACAGTTGCTTTTTATATTAATACAAACAAATAAATACACATTGAATTTTTATATCATCAAATATAAAGAACAACATTGTATTTCCTATATTAAAATTTTAAGAAGGTATATGTAATAAAGCCCTCTGCTCAATGCAACTTGCACTACTAAGGGCAACTATCTGTATATAATGCAACTTTCTTTTATCCTGCAATGCATGCTGAGATATTTTTCCTTAAGGGCAGCACCTTCCCTTGAGCAAATCAGTGTTGCAGTGATTAAGGAAGCCATGATTTTAAATACTTCACTTTGTGACAGCATGGACTTTATTCTTGCTCTTCAGAAAACTTTTCTAAGTCTGGTAATTTGAGTTTTCAAAAACTTTAGCTATTCCAAATGTATTTTGATTTATTTTGATTATGCATTCTTTTGCTTCCTATCTAAAACTCCTTTTATGAGGTAACTTAAGTGCTCTTAATCAGAGGTGAGGATAGGTGTCTGACATGATTTATAAAATATTTTGGAATAACAGACACTGTGGAAGTACAAGAGTGAAATGTTACTAAAGGTGTTTTTTAAAATTAGGCTGGGCGATGCAGGTTGCTGCCTTTGTTTTCATTCGAAGAAAGTGGGAAAATGACAAGAGTCACTTTGAAAAAATGCTGGATTATTTCTGTGACATTAAGGAACCACTACAACTCCTCATCTTTCCGGAAGGAACTGATCTTACAGGTAGGCTGCATTTGTCATCTTCTCATAGAATATTCAATGTGGAAAACCTTTGTTACTTATGGAAGTATTTAAAAAAAGTTGAAGGCAGGAGTAAGACTGGGTTCTCAGTAACAGTAGAAACTATAGTTAATGACCATCTGTTCTGATTCATTTGAGAGGCATTTGGTTCCCTTGAGAGGCTTTGCCAGTCCTCCTGGAATAACTGTTGCATTTCAAAGCAGCTAATTATTGAAATGGATTTCTATTTGTCAGTGCTGTATGTACATTGCATTAGGAAAAGTAGGTTACAAGACCTGGATTAAATCGCTTGCATGTTCCTATTTTCCATGTTACCGGGGCAAACACTGCGAAATTGTTTCAGACGTACGGAAGAGTGATTGAAGAGGAGAACTAATGATTCTATCAGATTTCTTGCCTGCTATTTTATCAGGAGAAAATGCAGATACTTGTTCCATAGGCCATGCAAGCAGTCTGTATCTGCCTCTCTAAGAACATTATCTCCCTAAAACAAGTGTTGGCATTATCATAAGAGTAAATTTAATTAATTACATCTTGTAGCATTAATTCTTAATAAAATATCCAGCTGAACATAGGTATCTCATGACATCAGTAGCAAGCTGCTAACCAGTGACAACTGAAGACAACTGAATTGCTAGTAAAACATTATGTGAATGCTTTGTAGTTCTTCATACCTGCAGCATGATTTGATAAGCATAATCTTTAAATAGAAAATAAATTATAATTAAACTTTTATATTTTATTTAAAAGATTGCTATATTTTCCATTGCAGATATTCTCAAATCATTCTTTATTTCAATGTCAGTAAGTACCAGACACAGTATTAAAGTAACTAATAGATATTGCTATTTTTAATTCTGTATCCCTGATATCCTTAAAAATTGATCTGTATAGTATTCAGATGCTATCCTGCTGTAAAGAATTGTCATCACTTGATCAGTCTTACTAAAAGAGGATAAACTCATTGTGCATTTTTGGGACTACTTCACATGGTATTCTTATTGAATTAGTTATTTTGTATTTAAAATTACAAAGAAGGATGGAAATTACCTCACTTTAATTTTTTTTTTCTTGGAATTCAGGAACAATTGTCTTCTCCTAAATCTTAATCTCATACACGGAGTCAGGAGACCCTTCCTTGGATTGCTCCTACTCTCTTTCTGAACAGGTGTTTCCATCTCAAGAATATTGAAATAATTGGCTTGTTTGTAATTTATTCCATAAATTATGTATAATTTCTAATCCCTCAGAGACAACAGGTTTTAAAGAACTGAGGAAGTTTCCTACTGCAGTTTTAAAAAAGAAGAGTTAGCTGAGGACCAAAACAGCTATAGTTAACACATGTGCTGCAGTATCCCAAAGGCATATGATGATGATGATCACACCTGAATGCAGAGCTACTTAAGGAAACACAGGGTTTTTTCTCAGCTGTTGTAACTTCTATAAATGACTTAGACTAAATTTAAGTATATGCAGTTGATACCATTGAGAAACTGAGAAATTTATGCAGCAAAGGTTCCTCACTTAATACTAAAAAATTCTCTTAATTGCAGTTCTGAACATAGAATTTTGACTTTTTTTTTTTTTTTTTTTTTAGAAAAAGGTATTTATGTTGTGGTTTTCCTTCCTCATACATGTGTGTAAGCTGTCCTCTTTAATCTTGCAGTGTCAAATGGATGTCTGCACTTTTTCTGAAGTCAGTTTAAGCCACAGTGGTGACTGTTTCCCTCTGGTTTGTTGAGCCAGCCGAGAAGGGAGGGCAGCACAGTGGGAAGGACAGACTGATGGGCAGGGATAGGTGATAGAGCACTGCTTCAACGGGCAGGCCTGCTGGCTTCTGACATGTTATACTGTCTGGTGTTTAGCACTCTAGCTTTCTAACAGTAATGAATGCCGCCTTGGTATTATTTTTGTGCAGAGTAGGATGTCCAGAGAGACGCAAAATCAGAGCCTTTTTCTGTGAAAGTAAACAGCTATCCCTATCTAACTGCCTTTAGAGGAAACGTTAGCTCAGATATTTTAAAATATAGCAGACAGCAAAATCCCTCGACGAGCTAATCCTGACCAAGCAATAAGTTTATGCCATATCAGAATGATAGAACATAATAATGTAATTTGTGTAATGTTTGTAAAATGATTTGCAGAAAACTTTTAATGATATATTGCAACCTCGTGTTCCATCTTTTAGAATAAGGAATAAACTGGAATTTTGTTCTGAATCATCACTCAATATCATAGGGAACATTTTGCAAAAATAAAGGCAATGGCTTTTGTTTTCTGACCCAATTCCAAAAACTGCTAAGTACTTCTGACAACAAAACTCTTCTGGTGCTTATAATGAGAAACAAGATTCTGCTTGTACTTCATTGAAAAGCAGAATTGCTCTGCAGCTCTGCACTGCTGTCACTTTTTTATCCTCTCAATGGCTGCATGACGTTGTTAGATTTACTCCTTTGTAGGAGATTGTATAACATTTTCAGATATTTGACACTGAAACACTTCAAAGAAATCTAAATATGACTATTTTTATGTATTGGCCACTGCCTGACTTCAAGTTGGTGAAGTACTTTGCAGTGGAAGATGCTATGATATATTCTTAAAATAGTAATGTTGTGAACCCTGGACAGTGTATTTGCAGACTGGATATATTGGGTCTGAGGTAATAATTATATACTTATTTCTGATAGGTTGGTCATCATTTCACTCTGGAGTACTTCAAGGTTAAAGCTAAGTGCATCAAGGTATTTTATTGTAATTGCTTAAAAAGAAGCCCTCAGCAGATAACCATATAGCCAGACTTTCTGTAGCCCTGAAGTAAACAGAGCAACCATAAGTCTAATGCTTCTGGAAAGCTGGAATATAATACACCATTTTGCTTGTTCTTTTGTTTTTCTTGGTGTTCCTTACAAGGCTCTTTGTAGTAATATTTCAGAAAGCAATAACAAGCAAAAAAGTTGCTGTGTTGCTTTGAGCCTGTTAAAGCCTCATTTCCTCTGGATTTATGTTTGCATCGCTATACATGGTCTTGCCTTCACTCCAGCTTCTCCTTTTTCCTTGTGTTTCTGTCCCTGTGACAGTACCTCAACAAATCTCTTGCTACTCTCTTGGCAAGAGGCACCATGTGCTCATCCTCACCAGTATGTGTTAACTCACAGACTGCTGCATGCTGTGCTGAAAGCCCTGACATACTAAATACCTGTGGTGCCTGCCCTAGCTTTTTGGGTTAAAAATCTCTAGTTTTGAATAAAAATATCTACTTTTTGAGGCTGCCCTTTGCTCAGCTATTGTTTGGGATTTTTTTCCTCAAACTACTCTGGAGCTTAATTAGCTTTGAATCACACATGATATTTCATCTAGAAGTTAATAATGAATTGCATTTGGAATTTTCTCTTTTCTAGTAAATGTGATGAATTTTGATAATGCAAAAATGTATTGTTCAAAAGCTCTGTTAGAAGTCAATTTAGCATGTGATACTTTGAAAGTAGCACAAATAAGAAAAAATGCTTAACTTTTTCTTAAAAATATTAAATATCAGACAATATAGGTGTTATGCTTTCTATGCAAACCACTAATATGTAAGTGAGGATTTAAAAAAAAAATAATTTTAAAACAGATTTTTGGAGTACTCATGTATTGTTTCACTGTCTGCTACCAACTGTCTGTTGTAGCATGATGCTGTTTCCCCTCGTCAAGGCACCACTGAAAAGAGACTGGCCCATACTTGGCACCCAGCCTTCAGATATTTAAATACATTAGTAAGGTCCCCTCTCAGTCTTCTTTTCTGAAGGCTAAACAGCCCCAGGTCTCTTAGCTTTTCCTTATATGACCGATGTTCCTGTCTCTTAATCATATTTTAGTCCTCCATTAGACTTTCCAGCATATCCCTGTCCCTCTTGAACTGGGGAGCCCAAAACTGGACATGATACTCCAGATGTGGTCTGGAGGCAGAGGAGAAGGGGAGGAGAATCTCCCTTGACCTGCTGGCCACACTCTTCTTAAAGCATCCCAGGATACTACTGGCTCTCTTGGCCACAAGGGCACATCAGTGTTCTATGGATAACTTATTGTCCACCAGGACCCCAAGGTCCTTCTCCATAGGGCTGCTTTGTAGCAGGTCAACCTGTAATCTGTACTGGTGCATGGTGTTTTTTCTCCTTAGGTGCTGGACTCTAAACTTCTTCTTGCTGAACCTCATTAGTTTGCTCTTTGCTGAGTTCTCCAGCTCTCGTGTTCTCTCTGAATGGCTGCACAGCCTTCAGGTGTATCAGCCAATCCTTCCAGCTTCATATCATCAGCAAACTTGCTGAGGAAACATGCTATCCCTCATCCAGGTAATTGATGAAGATGTTGAATAAGACTGGGCCCAGTATTAACTGCTGGGGAACACCACTAGTCTCCAACTGGACTCTGTATTGTTCATCACAACCCTGTGGGCTCTATTGTTTAGCCAATTCTCGATCCATCTCACTGTCTGCTCTTCTAACTCACACTTCCTGAGTTATCCACAAGGGTGTTATGGGAGACTGGAAAAACATTAGCTTTCCTCCAGTCCTCAGACACCTCTCCGGGTTTCCAGGAGTTTTCAAAGACAGTGGAGAGCTGTCTAGTGATGACTTCTACCAGCTCCCTCAGCACACATGGGTGTATCCCATCGGGGGTCCATGGATTTGTAGATGTCCAGTTTCCTTAACTGATCTTTAAAACCAATCTAGTTCAATCAGTGTAAAGTATTCCTCACTCCTGACTGCTTCTATGGTCTGGAAGGTTTGGGAATCCTGAGGATCCTTGAGGCAAAGCTTCAAGATGAAGGCTCCAGGAGAAGCAGGGGCTCCCCTGCCCTCTTGTCACCAGGCAGAAGCAGAAGATCTGAGAGAAGAGAGGGAACTGGAAGCTGGTCCCTGCTCAGGGCAGCAGGTGAATCCCGTCCTGGCCTCCCCCACCTTCACAGTTGCCCTTACAGAATAGGCATGTAGCCCTGAAAC